GAGGGACGCAGCCCGGGCTCGCTGGGTGACAGTGGAGCTGCTGCAGGGCCTCGTGGTGGAGCTCACCTGCCCTGGGGGTACCTGTGGGACATGAACCCTGCTGTGGGGTCCCCCGGGAGGGTTCAGGGGCTCTACAAACAGCATCAGGGTTTATTGGCACCTCTGGGTGCTCGGGTGCGCACGTAACCTGCGGCTCAGACAGACAAACGTGAGGCAACCTTTGGCCACTGGCTTCAAAGTCCACTGTTTACTAATGGTGCCAATGGCAACAGCAGCCGTTTATTGAGCTCTGCTGTTTGCTCAGGAGCTCTCACGAAGCAGCTAATCCAGAGGGATTTACTCTGCTGTGACTTGGCTGCAGCATCCACAGCTTCTCTTGGTGCAGTAACACTGGGTGTTAATGGCAGAGCTGCTGCGAAGGCTCTGGGTGTTCCAAACCCTTTCCCATCCCCATCTCTTCTGTCTCCATCACTGCATCTCCCACCCCTGCAACCCTTCCCAGCTCCTGGCCATTAACGTTTAGGATACATCCATCCCCTTTCCCTGCCTCCCCAGGGGTCTCTATAGAGATTTCAGGGCAAGGGGGCATTGGCTTGGCTGTTGGTGTAGGTGTCACGGGGGAGAAATGGGATTATCCTACCCCAAAGGGTTTGTGACCCTCTGGATGGTTCTGCTGCAGCCTCGGTGCCGAAATGACTCCTCCTGGGTGAGCCCTGGGGTGGGTGCTGGAAGGTCTCTGCAGGGTTTGCTCATGAGGAGGGAGCTTTATTTCCCAGGTTCTGCAGATGTGGGAGTTGTGTCTGTCCAAAGCCCCTTCTGCAGGTTCAAACTGGGGGCTGTTTTGCAGCTCAGCCCTGCCTGGTACAAGGGAAGGGCCACGTGAGGCAGGGCTGGACTGGGCTTCACCATCCCGCTGCTGGGGGCTGTTCACTATCAGCTATTCACCATCTGGCTTCTATGTAACTTCACCTTCCTGATAACCTAAAGCCATTTACAGAGGCACCGGGGCTGCTTCTCCTGGTAGGACCACGGGCAAAGCCCAGAAACCCAAGAATGGAGCTCAGCTGGCACTGGGGGGTGGTTAAACACAGCCTGGGTTGGGATGAAGGGACCTGAAAGCTCCTCCAGCTCCAACCACGGGCAGGGACACCTTTCACTAGAGCAGGTTGCTCCAAGCCCCTGTGTCCAACCTGGCCTTGAGCAGTGCCAGGGATGGGGCAGTGATGGACTCTGCTCCTCCGTGCACTCACGTGGGAATTCTGTCCCTGCTTCCCGACCTCGGTGCCCGTGGGCACCCCTCATTGCTGGCCGTGGCTGTGTGTGCTCTCCCCCATGGGCAGGGAGGGACGTCTCTATTTTTACACAAGGCTCTGAAATGAGCCTCCAAATGGCTGGGTTGGAGCTTCCTAAATATACCCTGGAGCCAGACACTGGGAGCTCCGGCTGCTCCGCTGGGAATGGGGTAGCTCAGGGCCCCTCTCAGAGGCAGTGGGACCCTTGGGGCAGCGGAGCCGCTCTGGTGCCCAACCACCCTGTGTTCCATAGGCTGCAATTTTCATACCAAAGCCCCGGTGTTGGCTTGCCCCTGCCCGCAGGACATCGTTCCCTGCCCCAGGGCTTCTCCGCGTGTTTGTGCATTCCCAGCCTTGCCCTGGGCTGCAGGGGAGACAATGAGCCTCCTGCCTGCACCCCATGCTCAAAACCAGGGTCACTCATGGGAACGGGGGGATTTCGGGGTGTTCAGCTCCATGTCCTGATTTGCCCCTGTGCTGAGCAAAGGTTGTCCCTGTTCCTGGGAGAGCAAAGGTCCAGGTGGAAGGAGAAAACCCAGAGAGAAGATAAACTGAGCGCCAGCGGCGGGCTGGAACAGGGATTTCTCAGTTATGGAGGGTTCTGCCATCCCATATTAACTTTGCTGAATGCATTTATTCATGTCAGGTAAAGGGAGAGTGAAGCCTCTTTGTTTACAGCTCCCTTTCTAAAATAGCTCCTAATTGCTGTGTGCTGCTGGGCTCTGCAGCCTCACACCACCTATTTATACCCCATGAGCACGGGCTTGGTGCCGCTCCTGGGCTGGAGGGGCCCCTCTGCCACCACCCCTCAGCCTGCAGCTAATCCACAGTGTTTGGCTGAGGAGCACAGGGGATGTCCCCATCAGCTCAGCACCGAGGGGGGATTTTGGTGCTGGACCAGCTCTTCTGGCAGGATGAACTTCATCCCCCTGCATCCCACATCCAGCTCTGGGGAACAGCACAAGAGGGACGTGGAGCTGCTGGAGCGAGGCCAGAGGAGGCCCCGGAGCTGCTGCGGGGCGGGAGGAGGC